CCTTTATAAATCCCCAAAGAAAAAAGTCCAGCGGCGTTATATCAGGTTATCTGGGTGGCCAAGGAATTGGAACCACCTCGCCCAATCCATGTTCCTGGAAAACGGTCATTCAAAGAATTACGAACGATGTTACCCCAATGAGGTGGTGCACCATCTTGTTGCAAAAAGACATGTGGCTGAAGCTCTACTAATTGTGGAAATACGAAGCTTTCCAACATGTCTATGTATACGACCGATGAGACCGTATTTTCTGTAAAAAAGAAAGGCCCAATGACTCGGTCGTGCACTAGTCCACACCACACATTAACCTTTGGGGAATCCCTTCGTGTCTCACGGTATTCATGGGGGTTTCATATGCGCACATTATGGTGATTAACAATGCCAGAAACATGAAAGCTTGCCGCTACCTGGCGTGAAATTGACGATCGACTTGATATTCTCCGTGCGACGAAGGGGGCACGCGTGGAAGTTCATTGACAAGAGTCATGAAACTGTTTGGGTCTATCTAACCATTTATGTTATTAATTTTAATCTATCTTTATTATTTTAGGAGTTATTAAACATCAAAATGGGTCTGGGACTTTATAAACATCCTGTATTATTTTTAAACTTTATTATACGACTGTGAAACAGACGTAATAATAATGGTATTTTTCAATTTTCTGGCATTTTCCAAGATATGTTATATAACCTTTTGTTTTATTATGTCAAAATTATTCTTAGCTTAACTAATTTGATTAAAACAAAATTAAATCTGATTAATATTTCGATCTGAGAGGAGTTTTTAAATAATTATGTATTTGATTAATATTTGACGCTGTTCCTATGAATAATTTTTTTAAATTAATATTAGTGGTAATGTTTTCAAATATTATATTGGAACGCTAGTGAAAATGTTCAATCTAAAATGAATTCCTGTTTTCAATATGAATTGTGGAAAATGTTCCACTTACCTTTAGACCGCCAATTTGATGATTCATAAACCTTTATTGGTTTTAATTACAAATAGATGAAGATGAATTTACATGAAATGGTAAATGATGATTATAAAGTGATGAAAACATTTAGTTAGGTATTAGCGCTGCATGGCGCGTCTCTATTTACATTACATCTACTTCTACTGTTTTTAAGTTTTTTAAAAAATAAAAAGTTAATACTTCTGATGCGCCGGTGGCGCCATCTGGGGATAGTTTTCTGGTATGAGGGGGATGAGGGCTCGTTACAAACATGATGAATTTCCTTAGAACTTTTTTTACCTAACAATTTTAATTGATGCACATTTTTCATTTGCACTTTCTTTCATATTTTTTATTCTTGTTTACTATTTTTCTCATCTGCATAGTTAATGAAATTGATTTCTAAATAAATTAAGGCATCAATTACTTTTTATTTATTCATATTCGGTGTCTGAAAAAATTGTAAAGAATTATTTTTTTTAACTCGATTGTGTTTCTGTGAGATTTTCGGCGTATGACAAATACGGCACCTGTGGGGGCTTTGCCTTCTCCGAAGATGGTTGTAAGCGGCGCAAGTAGATAAATTTAAAAGGAGAAAAAATGTAGCATTGTAAAAGCTATTTGAAAAAATAAAGTCTGTTTTTTTAAAATTAATGTTAAGAAACTGTGCAATAACAGTGCAACTAACTATTGTTTTTCTGAAATCTTAAAGTTCATGCATAAAGTGCTTCAGTTTATTTATTCTTACTTATGTACCTTTCTTCAGATTTCCTATTTAGACTATTTAACGTACTTCTATTCCTTATAGAAATGTTCCACTGCCAATAATTTTGATTGATAGCCACTCTACTGCGGAAAAATATGATTCTTATTTAAAAACTTTAAGCGAGGTAAGTCGGGTCAATGCCGTGTGTTTAAAATTTAAGGGAGGGTTGTGTTAATTGATCAAAATGTTTACTGCATATATCACTGGTAAATATATTTCGAAATTAAACGAGTGTTAAATTTGAAAATATAATTAAAATAAAGCTTTCCCGCAACAGCCCATGGTGGGTCAGACTCACACCCTCCACTAGGAGCATGATGGTGACAATGTGGTCAACACTGCGCATCCATCGCCTATACCACAAGGTGATCTGCAGCCGTGATGGCTCAGGGGATAGAGCGTTCACCATCCAATGAGGTTATTTATATCCAACCGGGTTCGAATCCCACCAATGGCTGGTTGATATGAATCCGCATCCGGCTTGCACCGACCACAGTGCTGACGTGATATATCCTCAATGGAAAACGGAACAAGGGTTGGAGTCCCTTTGCCACCAGGCTAACCTTGTGAGGTTCTCGTGATCTTCCTCTCCATGTAACGCAAATGTGGGCTAGTTCCATCAAAAAGTCCTCCTCGAAGGCAAATTTCTCCCAATACTTGATCCAGGAGTTCCCTTGTCTTCTGGATTGGGTTCAAAATTACAATACTACGGAGTTGGACATTAGAAGTCGCACACCCAGAAATTGGATCGGCTGTTCAACGACAAGCAATTTCTTTTCTTAAATTTTTTAAAATTCCAATATTGGATCTTACAATACCCTATCCAATATTCCTCACGCGTGATTTTTAATTTATTATATGAGATTAATCAATGAGGAGAAGCAGAGGGATGAGTCAGTGAGGGAGAATAACGAATTTAGTCAGAGCGATGCAGCTGGAGGCAACAAGGCCAAAAAGGGAACTATAAAACAAGGAGTTCGTAAAGGTAAGCGAGCTAACCGCCGTTGGCGACTGTTACTGTCATAAACTTCTCTTCGCTTGGCTTCTCATAAACTTGTCATAGCATAGCTTCCCTTCGCTTACTCATACGTATATATCTTTCAAGTGTCTTCTCTAACATTTGTTTTTACTATATTTATAGCAAATGTAAACTGAATTTTTGTTTTGCAATTCGAGAATATAGTTTTATCACCTTAATAATCTAAGGAGAGAAATATAACGACAATAAACAGACAGTAAAGAAATAAATTTTCTTAAAAAAACCAAAATTTGTTCTCAGTAGTTTTTTACTTATTTGAACAGCGGACCCAATTTTGAGTATACAACTACCAATGATCAACTCCATAGCCTTGTAATTTTGTACCCAATCGAGACACAAGGACAAGGGAACTTCAGGATCAAGTATTTGGGATGAATTTGCTTTCATGGTGGACTTTTTGACGCAATTAACCAACATTTGCGTTATATGGTGAGGAAAACCCCGAGAACCTCCCACGGTTACCCCTTGGCAAAGGGATTCTAACCTATGATCCCTCGACCATTGATTATATTTTACATCAGCACTCACTGTGGTCGGTGGGAGCTGGATGCGGAATTCGTATCGACCAGCCGACGCTGGGATTCGAACCCGGATCCCCTTATTGGAACGCGAGCGCTCTATCCTCTGAGCCACCACGGTTCCTTAAGTAAAATTTCAGAGAAAATAAGTTAATTATATCAATAATACAATCTGAAGAACAAACACGAGAGTTTAACTATGCAGGGTGTTTCGCAAAGAACGCCTTTAATATGTATTTTCAGATGAAACGATAAAATCTATGGTTGTTAGGGATCACAATTTAATATTTAAACAATAAGAAAAAGAAAGTAATTAAGTCGAATCTCGATGTAACGACACTCGTGATCCGGGTGAATACGAGCGTTATAATGTTAGGTGGTTACATCGTGAATACATAGTTAATATTAACTCACAGCTAAAAAGAAGTAATTTAATATGAACAATATTTTACAATTTATAAAATACCTGAACCTATTTTACAAATTTTGAAATTAACAATACGAATTTCGAAATTAACACTAAAATTGGTAACCTTTCTTTTTATAAAAATAAATACTTTAAAGAATACCCCTTGAAATAATATTTAATTGATGAAAAATGCAACTAAAACGATAAATTGGTTTGGCGCTGCTATTTTCGGTAAATAACCATGCGGCAAAAAAACTGCGACGACCACAAGTTTTATTCGAAACTAAACAACGTAAGAAGGCTGACATGTCACAAAAACACAGAATACAATTTACAATCAAGAAAATTATGATTAATATATTTATCGTATCCTTTGAAAAGAAGATTACAGATTAAAAATGACCTTAGAATACGACAACCTAGGAATAAGAATTTAGTGGTTTATGTCATTCTTCCTTCATTCAAAGGGTATTCAAGGTGTTTTATATTTATTGTATAGCAACATCAAAGGAAATAATGGTTTAAATAATTTCTTTGAAACTTTTTCTAAATCAACTAACTAAATTTTGGTCGCTATATTGGAAAGAACAGTTCAGTTCGGACGTTCTAATTAAAATAACATTGCTTCTATGGAATAGCAAAAGGGACTTCATGCACCATCCTTGTAATGAAAGGGTCGTTGTAATGGCGGTCGTAATAAAGAGGGTAGATTGTATTATCGAAATCTGATTGTTCGTTAAAGAGATTGCTCAAAACAAGGGAGAAGCTTAAAAACTCTATAGTTCATAATGAATCTGAAAGATGATTCTTAACAAAATTAAAGCGAATTCTATAACTATACTATTCTATTATAGTATCACGTGGTAAACAAACTGGTTTTTTGTTTAGTTTACCTTTGTTTTGCTCAAATCAACCTCGATAAAGTTTCTTAATAGAGTGATAACATTTTTATTTAAGTAAATATTAATTTTTCCTAGTTTGTTTATTCGTCGGCTTCAGTTTTTCCAATGATTAAAAAAAAAGCATAATTTAAGGTTGATTCATAGCGGAATACCTATTTAAGTATTAAACTGGAGTTTATCCATTACTTTAAAATTCTTTTTATTTAAGTACGAAGAAAACAAAAAACAAAACAAAAAAATGATATAAAATATCTATATATTAAGTCATAGTTCATTTGATTTCACGAATTCTTCTAATAATAATTTTCCTAATAATAAAAAAATGGCTAAATTTGTTTTTCAAAATACATAAAACTTTTACCATTTTAATTTTCCAATGTTTGCTGGTTTAATGAAAATCATTTAAATAATCTATTTAGGAGTACCCACGGACCATCAAGAATTTTAATAATGAGAAAAAATCAATTCAAGCCAAAAAGGGAAACCTTCTTGCCTTTATGGAACAAATTAAAGGCGATGTAGAGGTAATTTTCCCCCCTTCTTTTTCTAGGTACTGTTATAGTCTTAAGCACTTTCATCTAACATTTTTAAATAAATAATACATGCTACCATAATAACTTTTTAAATAAAAATATTGAATGTGTTAAATAAAAATATTGAATGTAAAAATTACTATATTTGTAACAATTTTTACATATTGTAAAAGATCAATTCAATTTATCAGAGAATATTTATAAATAAATACAGCATATATTTTTTTTATTCATTTTTAAACTGTTTTGTTCTATGAATTAGAAGATAGAAGAGGTTTTAAAACTTGTACATTTTGATAAAATATAGACTAAAAATGACATTTAAAAAATATCTGTAACTTTAGGTGCAAAACTAATTTCTGATTTGAAATTCTCACACCCGAATTGGGCAAGATAAAGTATTTGTATAAATGCAACAAAAAATTTGTTCCACACATAGAGTTGGTTGCAACTCTATGGTTCCACACTGTTACACAAATTATTGAAAAAAAATGAAATTTAGAATTATTGTAAGGTGAGTAAAGTATTGTAAACGTGATTGTTAAATAAAAGAAGGAAATAATTCGTGAAAATCTAATGCGCGAAATAATTCCGGGTGTTTAATATGTAAATTAACAGTAAGATCTAATCGGTGAGAAAATTTATTAATGTATTAACTTGTTCAAAATTTAAAAGTAGAAAACGTAGAGGATTAAATGACTCACTTATCGACGAGGATTTAATTTTTTTTATTTTTATTAAGAGTGGTTGTTAGGGTGCATAATGCACTTAAAATTCAGTCATATTAAAAATAAATATACATGCAGAGTCAAATGATTGTGAAAGAACAAAAATAATATATTGTTAATCGACAAAAGTAGAAGTAAAGGCTAATTCGGTTATCATTATAAATAATGTTTACTGGTACATAAATTTTGATTTGAACTTCTGCTTTATTTCAGGAAATGAAAATTGCTGTTATAGAATTGAAAAGCCTGCATGTAAAGGAACAGGAATTTGCCAGTGAAAAAGAAAGAGAAATTAATTTGTAATGAATTGTTTTAACACTAAAGGCAAATTTTTGATGATATTGTTTCTTCTAAAACTATATGTAATTGTTAATGGCGTTAAAATTATTTTTAAATTTAATTTCGTTAGATTTTTTTTTGTTTTTTAAAATTGGATTTTCTTTTTAATTATAAGATGTAAAAAAATATTTTTTGCTTGTTATTATAGTACGTTATTTTAAGTTTAGATAATTTAATTAGAAGAATGCGTAATATATTATTTATTGAAAATTGTTTAGGAGAATCTGCTTTATACTTTTGTGGAAAATAACAAGTTAAAGTAAATTTCAATGCCTCGTCTGCATAAAAGTTTTTCTAAGTTTCAGATTTTCATGGTCAAAATAGATAAATGATGAAAATACTCATAATTACGACATATATTCAAATAAATAATTCTAAATTTTACAGAAATAACATTACGTACTGTAACAATTATGTACTCAGTAATGGATTTAAGGAAGTGATTTCTCTAAAAATTAGAAAAAACTTTTCTAAAAATATTTTTTTTAGTGTATAAAGCTTAAAATATTTTTTCAGGGGAGGACGTGCAGAAGGAGCTCAAAATGTATGATTTATAATTGTAGATGAGCAATGTAATTTCGGTTTCCTAACTCGTAGTCCTAAAGTCCTGAAGCGACATTATATATATATATATATATATATATATATATATATATGTATTATTATTATTATTATTATTATTATTGTTGTTGTTATTAAACATACTTTTATCGTAGGAATAAACAAGTATGCTTCTTTTCATTTTGCTTATTTATTTTAGGTTGAAAATTCAAATGGAAGAAGCTGAAAAGCGTAAGCAAGATTTTAATGAGTGTATTGAAAAATACACACTTATGAGGGATAAACTAGACAGTTTAGCCAAATCTAACGAGGTAACATTAGATGGGTCTATTTTATAAAAATATTTAACCCTATTAAAACTAAATAAATGGTTAAAGCAAATAAATAACATTGTAGAATTTGATGTTTGATGCATTTATGAGAAATAATTTATCGCTTTTGGACAGAATATTATCTGATATAAGACAGATATGTGGAAAAACAAAACTAGGCACAATTTGTACCCTAAATAAGACTATACTAACGATGGGTAAACAAAGAAATTTTAAAAAAAAAAAACAAAAAAAAAAAAAAAAACAATACAGGATTGGGCTAAGCTTTGACGTTTTTCCCTTTAATTGTTTTCATTAATGTAATTGAATACAAAATTAATATAATGTTCTAAAAATACCCTTGGCATTTTTTTTTTACTTAAAAATATAATATCTAATTTTAGTTAGATCATTTTTAACCGATAATTTTAGTGTCCCTTGTAAAAAATTTCTAGTAGAATGCTAACATTAAAAGTTCTTTTACGTAAATAAATATTGTTGTAAATATTCTTTATTAACATTTGTTTATTACATTGTTATGCTTTTAATTTAATGTAATGTTTTTTTTCTTTTCTTTTTTTAGTGTTTTTTATGGTCCGTGAAAATGTGTTAAGCTTTTGATATTAGTTAAAGTAAAAAATATTGCTAGTTTTTTTTAAAATTATTGATAACAATTTCATATTCCTCATATTTTTATAGATATATTAAGGCTTGGAAGTTCTACTATTGTTATTTAGAAATGAATCATTCAGTTAAAGAAAAGGAGAGAAAAACTGTGAATATTCAGAAAATAAAATATTGCACGGAAATTTACTGGAGTTATAAGTTGTTAGAATTTGAAAAAAAGGAAGGAAAAATTCAAAATTTTGCTAGCGTTTTTAAATTAATAAGAACAACATCGCGAAGACTTTATTAACAATATAATGCTTAAAAGATCTACCATACGTTTTGAAATAAATTAAGGAAAAAGATGTGAACACTGGACAGTGCTGGAGATAAAAGATTTCACGGGCTTAAAAGTTGATCGAAATCCTGAGCTTCTAGATTTTGGGGCATAAAAAACGTTGATATGCGTTAATTTATTTGAAAAAATGCTATTAATTTCGAATTGATAGAATAAGTTAAATAAGTTACTTCATCATAGTGCATTTATTACCGAATGGTTAAGTCGTTGAGCTCTCATATGAGATCTATCCCCGGTAGTGGTTAGAAATTCATCCTGTTTTAGATTAATGGGTACCTGCTTTTCTGGGAAGTAAAGGCGGCTGGCGCGTGATATCAACCTCATTGCTACCAATCCTTGATCATGAAGTTGTTAATCTTTAACTTCCATAACCCTTTGGTTCAAAGCAGGCTATTTCGAGAATGCGTTCATTTATACGCTTTTTTCTTTGCAAAAAATTAAGGTATCCGACTACCTTAAAAACGAGGATTTTGACAAAAAGTCACTATTTCATTTTATTGTTTGATAATAATGCCCAATTTTTCTAGTTTTCAAAACTGTTTTGTTTTTGAATGCACATCAAATAGAACTTTAGTTATAGCTATTTTAGTAACAGACGACAGCTGTCAAACTTACCAAAAATTACAAAAATGAAACCGATAGTTTCGGTTCCATTTTCTATTTGTGTGCTTATTTCTCTTAGATATTTCGCTGTTGTATTATCCTTAATTAATTACTATAAAAATATTTTTACTTCTAATTATTAATAAAAACTATATTTAGACATATATATTAAAGTAAAAAAATACTGTAAGATTGTTGTTTAATAAAAAATTGTTCGTGTGTTGAATGCTTTATAAGTAGTAGACTTTTGATGGTATTCACTGACTACGCTAAAATATCACTACAAAAAACTCCAGGCATTAAATATGAAAATGAAACTAAGAAAATGTGTGAAGGAATGTGCCCCCTATAAAATATAATAATTTCCAACTGACAAACATTAATAGTTTTTAAAAAAAATGTAATTATGAACTTTAATTATGTTTTTCTCAAAATGAAAATTTTACTTTTTTTTGTATGCGGAAAACAAGATAACTCAACCAATTATTATAAATTTGTCTTCAAACTTTCAGAGATTGTTTCTGGTATTGGTGGTTATATAACAGACCTCCAGAATTCAGATATCTGTATTATTTTTTGTTTTATGAGATATTTTGCAGTAGATAATGTGAAGAAAATGAGGGGAAAAAATGGAAAAATATGCTTAACACTCCATAAATTTTATTAATTTCATGATATCATTTAAGTTGAGGTTCATAACACTTCAGAGGGTTATACGAAACTGCTCAGAAAGTTTGACAGCTGTATGTACAATAGTTTTTTGTGTAGAGTGATTTCCGTTAATGAGTTATTTTCATTAAAATTATCTAAAAAATTTTCTTTAAACAAAAAATTTCTTGTGCTTTTACTTTTTCTCTATTAAATATGTTTATTTAAATTAACATATAATATAAATTGTAATAATGTTGTGGAAAATACTTATTTATCAAGAATTTTGTCCCGAAGCTAGTCTGATACCTTAAAACCAATTGTCTTAATTTAATAGGATAATTTTTATCAATCTTGTAGAACTAAGTATGGTTGACGAACTATATTTGATCCTCTGTTTCCTACTACTAATGTTGATTTTTCTGTTAACTATGATTTAGTTATAAAATATAAAAATATTTATATGCATACCGGGGGTTAATTAATATCAATGTATTTACCTAATTCATAATTTTATTAACAACAATACTCCCTTCTTTAAATAAAAAATACCATCTATAGAACAAACATCGCCTATAAGGAAATGCATTTGATTACCGTTAAACTATTTTATTTATATAATTTTATATTTATTTTAGTTTGAAGCAATTTGTTTTGTAGTTCTGAACTACAAAATCATTACCAACCTCAAAGATGGATGTATTAATTATGTATTTTTTTCAAAATGTCTAAGTTACATTGTAATTTGAATATTTTAAAATGAATGCTTAAAAGTAGAAATAAATATAAAGAGCGTTAAAAAAATTTTAACTCAAAAATTGTGTAAATCGTAAAATTGCTGATTATTTAAAAATAAATGTTTTTTAAATGCTTGGTATTTTATTGTAATATTGCAAAACTTCGTGCTTCATTAGAAACTAATTCGTATCATAAAAAATAATCTTCAGTAATTATACTAATGTACTCGCCACCATTTTCTTTTTCTGTTTCACAATGTTTAACATGTTTTTGAATTCCATCCTTAGAGGAATAGTGGGTAATTCTCTAAAAATATTTATCAATGGTATAGAAATTTTTTTTTTCGGCGTTTAAATTTTTTTGTGTAAACTAAAACAGTTGAACATTTGAAGGGGGTAGGTCAGCGGTATATGGCGGATGATAGAGGACTTCCTATTTTAAATTCTTCAATTTTTGCTAGATCTAGCGAACGACCAGCGACACGTGATTTAGAATTGTCATGAAAATCAAGGATGCATTTTCGCAAGTAGACTGTTTGCTTCAAGAGTTTAAACATTAATCTGAATTAGTTGTTCCTAGTATTTTCCTGCTGTTAATATATAATATAAGAAAGCTCAATTTGTTATATTACTAATACTATGATTGTTTTACAGTTTGAAAACATTAGAAGCTTAGTACGGCATTATCTCCTTGTTCAGTCCTTTAATGAAGTAATTATACTTTTCTCAACTACTAAGTTTTTTACTCAAATTATATTTGATGAAATAATTGAGGTTAAAATATTTTTAATTTAATTCACTGTTTAACGCCAAGCAGAATTTTAAAACATAAATAGCATTGAAAGCTCGGCATTGTTAAAAAGAACTAAGCATTTTATTAAAAATATAAAAATTTGTGTGCTTACCCTTGTATTGGTTATTCTTGTTTACCTCTTTAATTATTTTATTTAGCATAAACTTTATTTGCGTTTGTTGATAGTAATTGACACGATTCAAAACTAAATTCTGTTTTTAAAATTAATTTTATTTTTATTTTAGACCTTTTTTGAAAGTTTTTAAACTGATAAATATTTTGCTAACCTAAAACTAATTATATTTCATTTTATTAGAATAACAGTAATAATATTACAAAAAGTTCTTTTGGAGAATCATGATGAATTCCAGCAAACGATTTCGAATTTTCTTTTGTATTTCAAAAATCGTTTTCACATTTTTCCACTAAAATAATATAACAAAAGTATACAATAAATTATCATAGCAAATGAACAAACTTAATAGTAAATTTAAATGTTCTTTTTTCCAAGTGAAAATCAGGAATCACATTAATATTAGTGATAGGAATCTTAATCCGTTCCTCTAATATATGATCTTTTTATTTTCAGATATTTATCCGAAAACAGCTTAATAGTGTTACAGCACGTGATGAAGGTATTGACAGCAACTTGACAACACATAAAGAACTCAAAGTATAAATGAGCATATAATTTTTTTTTTCTAATAGAAGCTATTTTTCAAATAAAGAATGAAGCTAACTGAAATATTATAAGAAGTTTATTATGAAGGGCTACATGCCCAAGTATTTAGATATGTTGACGGCAATTATGATCATTTTTATGTAAACGTGTTTTAGACGTAGTTCTATTAATCAGTCAACTTAGTGGTATATTTGCATTAAATTAAATTATTTTAAATAATGATAATTCTTTGTTATATTATCTGAATTCTTTTAAATAATTCTTTTTTTTCTTCCTTTTATCAGTTAACTTAGTAGTTCTTTTTATTTGTAATATTTGCATAAAATTAAATTTTTTTGAACATTAACTTTAAAAACTGAAGAAAACCAAACTGATACTCTTCAAAATGATGTTTTTTTTTATCACATCATGTAACACAAAAGTGTATTTTAAAATAAATTAACTGTAATGTTCTTGATTGAAAATTATCGTTAAACTCCTTAATTTGGACGAACCACACCTTTTAAAACGATTTCGCCTTAACATTTCCGCATTCAACCAATTAGTATCAGGCCTTATAAAGCGTTGAATCAACATTTGGATGTTTTAGACCAGTGGTGCGCAAACTAGGGGTCGCCAGAAGTTTTTTTGGGGTCGCCAAATTTTTATGAAATGCATTATCCCTGCATGCTGCATACCATGCAGTGTACATATAAAGAGTGAAGCGCCGTCACTCACTGTTTAATTGCAATGTCATGCAGTCCACTCTTTCTTTGACCGTAATGTATGTAAAGTGTAAAGACGCAAGTTTTTCTCTCCGGTAGATAGCGCCCTCTTCGCGGTAATTCGCCACTTTTACTGAAAAGCGTAACCGCAGGGAAAAGGCAAAAATTCGCTTCCGTGATCAGCCAATCAGATGGCGAGGTACGCGGTGTATCTGATAGTCAGAGTGAAGACGTGAAGTGTTCGCATGAAGTTGTAGCATGTAGCAGTTGGCCTGCAATTGTTTTAGTTTATCCTCGAGTTTTATCATGTGACGTTGTGTAATTTTGATTTTTTATATTTTTATCGGGCTTTGCTACTCTTTGTTATCAGGTATGTACTATCATTAGAGAAAGTTCTCTGTTAATTTTATTAAACTTCTCGAAAAAAAATTATAAAATTTTATATATTATTTGTTTTAGTCTAAATAATTTAACCCCTATCCTCATAATGGATAAATGTGTAATACGTACACCAGGTACAAAAAAATAAGAAAAAAAGTAAGAAAATACAATCTAAAAAAATAAGAAAATACAATGAGGAATTTATTAAGTATGGTTTTACATTTTTTTGTGTTGTTGATGATGAAGAACTCCCGATATGTGTCATTTGCAACGAAAAATTATCAAATGAGAGCATGAAATCCGCTAAATTAAAAAGGCACCTGGAAACTAAACATAAAAGAACCTCAAAATAAACATGCCGATTTTTTTCAAAGACGAGCTGAAAATTCAAAGTGCACATTTAAAGAAATTTACAACAATACCTCAGAAAGCATTACGAGCTTCTTTAGAAGTTTCTTATCTAATAGGAAAAACAATGAAACCCTATACAATTGGAGAATCCCATATCCTTCCTGCAGCAACCACGATGACATCAATTATGAATTTCGATAAATATGGAAATGAACTAAAAACAATACCATTATCAAGAGATACCGTGTCTCGGTGGATTTCCGAAATGCCACGAAATATCGAGTCAGAAATCATAAGACGCATACAAAATTCATCTGTATTTGCTTTACAACTGGACGAGATTCCCGATATTACTAAAATGTCACAACTAATTACTTACGTTAGGTTTATTTTTAATGAAGATATAACAGAAACGTTTTTATGTTGCAAAAGTTTGGAGAAAAATAACTGGAGAAAAAATATTCGAAATAATAAATGAATATTTTGAAACAAAAGTCCCTTACCTGGGCAAACTGTGTTGCGGTTTGTACTGATGGTGCTGCAGCATTAACAGGTTCGAATAAAGGGCTCAGAGGCTTAATTCAGAAGGTGGCGCCTCATATGGTATTTAATCACTGTATGATTCATCGGCAAGCTCTTGTTGCAAAAGATATGGATGAAGAGTTGCACAACGTATTACAAGACGCTGTTAGTTCAATTAACTACATTAAATGCAACAGCCACAACAGCCGTCTCTTTTCAATACTTTGCAATGAGATGGGCTCAACGTATGAGAGATTACTGTTACACACCGAAGTCAGATGGCTTTCACGTGGGAAAATACTACGACGGATATTTGATTTAAGAAATGAAGTGTACATGTTTTTAATCGAAAAGAAACATAGATTGGCAAGTTATTATATCAATGAAGTTTGGCTAGGGAAGCTGAGCTATTTAGTTGATATTTTCGAAAAACTTAACGACTTAAATTTGAGCTTGCAGAGTGAGAATTCAACTATCATAACTACAGCCAGTAAAATTCAAGCTTTTAAGAATAAGTTTAGTCTCTGGCAAACTGAACTGAATAAAAACAACACCAACATGTTCCCTTGCTTTAACGATTTTATCAAGGAAAATAATATAGATATATTTACATTTAAAAACATCATTTCCAATCACATTGAAAAGTTAAAGAAAAATTTTTCGAGAAGATTCGAGGATTTTCCTGAAAACGATCTTGGTTGGATTCGTGATCCATTTTCCTTTGACATATGCAGTTCAACGCTTCAAATTAGTGAGAAAGAGCAATTGATAGATCTAATTAGTGATTATACTCTTCGAAATCAATTTAAGACTCAGCCTTGCCAAAAATTTTGGCTATCCGTGGAAAAACAATATCCCGTTTTATGCAAGAATGCCATCAGAGTGTTAATACAATTTGCATCAACGTATTTATGTGAAACTGGATTTAGCAAACTAGTTTCAATAAAAACTAAATACCGCTCGCGTTTAAACCCTGAAGATGATATGCGAATTGCAATTAGCAACATACATCCAAGCATCGATGAGATAATTAGGAACTTGCAGCCACATACATCTCATTAAAGAGCAATTTACTGATTTTTGTGTTATACAAAAAGTATTTTCTTAAAATTATAAATAAAATTAATATGAGTCAAATATGATGATGTTTTTATTAGATGAAACGAAAGAAATGCGCGAAATATACATCGTATTTGTGAACATTTATCTCTAGGGGTCGCCAAAAATTTTCTCTCTACAAAAGGGGCCGCAGTCGCAAAAAGTTTGCGCACCACTGTTTTAGACGATGATTTTTTCAAAAAGTAAATAAAATGAAGCAGTTTAGTTTTAATTTTTTAAATTAATTCTTACAATATATATAACACAATACAATGCATGATCTATATTATGTTCACGCAGCATCACAGATACTTCATAATGAAGCAAGAAAAGCAATATCAAGACTTGATGAAGGAAACCGAGAACGTTAAAACTAAACTTTGCAATTTATATGATCATCTGGATGAGATTCATTACACACGAGTAAAAGAACATGAAAACTGGGAATTCTTAAGGCGGTACGTATTTTAAAGTCATATTCTAAACAATTTATTATCAACTAGAAGGATTCCACCCTGGCTCGATGCAGCGTACCAACCTTCACAACCATTTTATCACCACAATCATTTCATAATCATTTAAATTTCTAGACGAGTTATAAATCAAGTTGAAAATTGCTAAGCTGAAAGATTTCAAAATATTCTATTCCATTAGCATAAATTTGTTGTCATGTAAAATTACATTCTTGGAAATGATGCAAAGAATTGCTTATCTTATAATTCAAAAGTTTTTCGACTGTTATTAAATAAACAATAAAAATAATACTATTCTTTTACTCAAAGTTATTATGTGCGTGTAAATATCTTTGGATTACAAGAATTTTATAATTGTGTGCAAAAAATTGAAGATATGGTGAAATATGTAAAAAGTAAAATTTATATCAATTGGTCTAATTTTTGGACCGCTCTCCTTACCAAACTATTGGGACCATATATTCCAGATTGCGACTACCCCTATATTTTGGGGGTCATCAGAAATCTGAATCCATCGAAGAAGAGGTTTGTTTAATTTGAGAAAGTACGTTTTTGTATCTAATATGGAAATATCGTTTGTGTCTAATTTTGTTTATTTTTCCATTTCTTTTTTTTTTTTTTTTTTTTTTTTTTTTTTTTTTTTTTTTTTTTTTTTTTGCTTAACACGTTCACGCCGGGGTGACCCACCGGTGGGTCACGCTAGGTTGTCTCATCGGGCGGCGCACCGGAGTAACAAATAAATTTCATTTTTTAGTTTTTCTCCGGGAATAATAAAAATCCGTAACTACCAATTGTTTCTAACGGATGCAATTTTTATATTGAATTGTTTCTTCGCAGTGAAAAATTTCCTTAAAGTGAATTGTTATTGTTGAGAATATATTAGCTCCTCCCGAATATTATCTAATATTGAAATAGTTCTTCTGCCAGTATTTTCTCTTTTCCGTCCCGCTTTCAGGTGCAACACCCGGCGTGAACGTGTTAAACGTCATTCCTGAAAAAAAAAAGGATAATTAAGAGCTTGTTCGCTAGAAAACAGAACTAATTTACACACAATCGAGAAACCGGTTTTACATCACTATCCTGGTCCTCGTTAAACTGTTCTACCTTAAAGTGTTCGACTTCGCGTGCAGGTCGTCGGGCTACCGAAGCAGGGGTGCCATCCCCTCTGCAGAGGATCAAACTTGTGATGGCATGTCTTCGAATCATCCTCAGGGATGTTTCCCAGATCGTCGCCAGTAGCTCAATGTGCAGCTCTAGTGCGACGTAGATGAACTACTACTACTACAACATTACCCTGTCTTACCCCACTTTCCCCTATTATTAATCTAATTAGTATAGATTAGACTACCTTCACTATATATTTTATAGATTTACTCATATTTAACTGATACATATTTTATAGATTTTTAATTTTGATCTAATGATTCTTGTACCTTAACATTACGTACCTTTATCTTAACATTAGTCAAAACCAGGCATTAACTTAGATTCATGATCAATCTCTTTAATTTTTAAAATATTATTTTTTAAAGAGCGTAAGTTTTTGACTTAAAAGCAGTTTAACTTTTTACATTTTTACAGATGGATCAATGAAATACATCATAAAATCAACCAGTATAAAGAAACTCCATGTTTGTGTAAGAATAGTATAAAACAACTTGAAGAGGTAAATGTGTTTAACAATAACTTCAAAATTTATAAACTTTAATTTTGTAATGAAATTTTATTATGTTAACAATTTAGTGGAATATTTTATTATAAATGATAATAATTGAGTCCCTGTGTCAAACATACGGGTAACATTCCTTGAATGTTAAAAGCATCAAAATTTACCGAAAGTAACGAAATAACAAATTTCTGATACGTGGAGTGATTGACAATTTTTCTTCATGGCTTTAAAATTATTCTTAACTATTTAAAGTAATGATTATTGGAAAAATTAGCGTTGAGTATCCCTATATTTTGTGAAATAATTGGATTTTAAAAACTTTGACAGATACCCTTGGCTCTTGTGTTATTATATGACAAATAAACAGTTGATAATATGTTAGCCTTTATTTTTAATAGAAAATTTTGCATACGAACAAACAGTACAGCTATCTCTCTGAAAACTTTGGCTCACATAAAGATTCCAGTAATGATTTTCACAAAAATATTTTTATATTTCAGCCAGAGCTTAAATTTACCATGGTATGAGTTTTAGCTATATTTCGTTTATTCAAATAATGTGGTGTTTAAAATGATTACATATTAAATTCATGAATGCAAGAATAAAATATAAGAGCATAAGTTTTGTTATCATTTTTTATGTAAAATAATATCTTTTGGAAGAATTGACAGCTATGCAGTTACATATTCTTATTTAAGGAGGAAAAAAGTATCGTTGTTTAACTACTGCTACCTCCAGATAGCAACAAAGAAACCTCTTTAACAGATATTGTTCATTAATTTTTTAATTGTAATTAATTATGTCAACTTGTTATCATTTAAATAACATTAATTGTAACTTATTCATATTTTTCCTTTAATTCTAAGTAATTAATTACAGAATTTCCGATACTATACATTTTAATAATTCTTCTTATTTAATTTCTTTTCAGCTTCCATAAAAAGATATAATTAATGCATGTTCACAATAGTATTCCATTTATTTATTGTTATTCATTGTAATCCATTCTCATATTTATTTTTATTAATTTTCGATAACAAATTATAGTATGTTGAATGTAATATCGAGCATTTTAATAATTTTTCTGATTTTCTTTTAATTTCGATAGTAAGTTTAAATTTTTATAAGTTCATTCGAATATTTTATGAATCGATCAATTATTTCACATTTTAATACTTTTTTTCTTCTTCTAATTTCCATTTAGATTCAAGATTTTATCGTTACAGCCAGAAAAATTACAAAGCGTTAGATTCAATAAGGATAATTTTCTAGATGATCTATAAGATTCAGCATCACTTACATTTACTGGTTATAATTGTTGCTTTGTTTAATTTTATAAATTGCATTACCAAATTTTCATTAATAAGTGAAAATAAATTTTCATTATTTTGTGTTAGTAATTATCTCTTTATGCTCATTTGTTTAATTATTTTTGAAGTTCTATTGCTATAACATTGTAGGAATATTTTTTCTAAGTGTTTAATTATATTCGTTCGTTCCTAAAGGTATTAGTCTCTTGTTTTGAAATAATTTATAAAAAATGAATAAATTTGAAAAATAAATTCTATACCGAATCGCTTTGTTTAGAAGAAACATGAAAAAATCGCCATGGTGTAATTGATGACAATGAAGCTGATTGGTAATAGGTACTAAATGAAATAAAACTAAAAGCTATTTACTAGAAAGTAAAATTATTGGGTTAATTTGCTTAGGAGAAAAGTTAAAAATCATCACACTATTATTGACCTTAATGATACTTAATTAAAGCTGGTAATAGGCACATTTGGTATTTGGTAATCGATGCAGTTTTAATACTAATATAGGTACATTAAATATATTTAATTATTAATAATACTGCATCAATCCTATGTAGTTTAAATATAGATACTGTGGAAAGAGGTTTTTATGGGCTTTTGAATGGAATGAGTACCAGAGAAATTTCTTAGTTATGGTAAATTTTGACAATCAGCAAACTTTAGTTACAGCATCATGCGAAATGATGGTAAATGCAGTTAGCAGGAGGTAGGATGAACTACTGAAAATGAGTTTTGTTTCATATAATAATGTAAAGCCACCCTCGTCGACAAAAAATAATCATAATAATTTTATAATTGGCATAGAAAAAGACAAAATACAAGATTAAGAGATTTTATTTTAAAATAAAAACACAACTATACAATACACAATGTTTTCCTAATTAGTTCATTTTATCACTGTATCTTTTAATGTACCTCTATCATTGTTCAATTAATATGAAAGATTTAAGAAGAGTATATACAAAAGAATGAATTAGATATTAGTTCTTTTGTCACTAAATTGAAAGAACGGCATGAAATGAAAGAAAAATGAATTGAAAATTTTTGCATATAATTATAATTTTTGTAAACTTCGTTCAAAATATCTAACAGTTAAGTGCAGAATTAGTAAATTTTGTAACCGGCCAGAGGATAATTGGATACCTGAAAGTGACGTAGCGTGGGTATCTCGATGCTGATTGGTTGTTGAAACGTGGCATTTGTTTACGTTAGCAACTGCTCTTTCCATTCCATCTCGAGTAAGCCAAGCCCGTCAAGTATCAATTCTCTTAAGTGACACGTTCTATATTCTTTCAAAAAGATTTCAATTCTTTTACTATATATTTCTTACTTAACACAAAGACAGGCACGAAGCCATGTAGAGCAAAAACAAACTAATTATGCTTCAAAGTTGGCAACTACACAAAACGAAAATATATATCACGGTTATAATAAAATACATAAACAAATAATAAAGTTATCTAAGTTAAGTAAAAGATGTAGATGAGAAAGAATTATATTTCAATAAATTTAATGTACGATACGGGGCTGTATTTAATTAGCTTTATGTTAATTAACATTCTAACTTATGTGGAGAAACTTAGCTTAACTTTAACGCTTCATTTGGCTGACAAACGATCAGCAAGTGCTGACGTCAAAGGTCACGTGTGTGGGTATTTGTGATCTTCTTCTTCATGAAGTCTTACTACCCAATTGTAGCATTTTTAACGGTGCCCACTTTTTCCTAAATTGAACATTTTAAAAGAATAAAAATAAACTGTTGATATATGTCAGGCATTTCTTATGCAGCATTTCTGAAATTATGGTAAGCATTACAAGCTCCATTTCTAAAATGAAGCATTGCATTCAAAATTTACATATTAACTCCTGACTGAAAATGTCATCGTACGCTTCTAGGGTCACATTCTATTATGGACTAATTGTGCATAGACAGTTGAGCAGGTATTTTTATTTACTTTAATTATAGTAATTTTAAGTTAATTTTTCTAATAATTAATATCGAAAATTGTATTTAAGTAGGGCAAGATTAAGTTGTTAAGTCGTACAAATCATCAAATTACGATATAACATCTATTTACAAAATTTTATGACTGCAATTTTTGACGAAAGTTATTAGAAAACAAAAAATTACCATACAAAATTAAAAATTTTTTGATTATGACGATTAAAAAAAATAATACGCATCGAATTGGAGATTTGTGAGATTGACTGTTTGTGACACTACTGTTTTTCACTTAAAATACCAAATTTTCCTACCTTGAAAGCATGTGATTGATAAGTTATAGATTTAGAGTATTTACTTATTCTCAGTTTAAGGTAAATTCAACACAGATAATAGCTTTTTGGTTTATATATGCATTCTAAAACTTTTTTTCTTTTCAAATATATATTTTTATATACAACCATATAATATTTATGTTTCATTGATTCTACAGATTCTCTACTGTAGGACAGAACCGTTTAAATTTTCATATTTCTTAGGAATGTCAATATTTAAGTCTTGATTAGTTCTGCCTTTAAAGGTCGACATCATCTTCGTCACCCCATTTTGCTTGTAAAAGTAACTAAGTACTTGGCTGGGTAGGAGTCTGAAAAAGAATAAATAAATAAATAAGTAAAGCAAAATACTTTTAGCAACATCACACGCATTAATTTATTATAATTCATATGATAATACAGCATCGATCTCATAATATGCTGTTATTTACTTAAAAGATTAACATAAAAAATTATGTTAAAACAATATAACAAGAAACAAAAAAAGTTATAGGTGAATAAATTTTTATAAAAAATTTGCAGAAAGATAGTTAAACTCCTGCAATTTAGAATTTAAACAACAAAAAAAATTCTCAAGTGACGTTTTAAAATGTGTATTTCAATTGTTTTAATAAACAGAAATTGTTATCTTTCAATTTTATGAAGTTAATAAAAAGAGTTCTTTTTATTTAATTTGACCTAAAAGTGAAAGTATTAAGGATTAACGATTACCAAAAAAGTTAATTCAATTTTGATAACGATTCTAAAATATACACCAAACATAAATAAGAATAGCTTGAACTCGTGTACTATTTTTTATAAGCAGAGTTCAATATTTTTTATTTTTTTTTTTAAAAAAAGAAAAAGTTATGGTGTAATCATGCTTATTAATTCGATAAAAAAATTTGAAATTTTGAAATCTTTTTTTGAAAACCTGTTATTAAATTGATTTTCTTTAGTTATAATTGAAACAAAATTCGTTTCCTTATTCCGTCGTATATAATTTTTCATCATCATATATATATATATATAATAAANATTCATATATATATATAAATTATAAACTGGGTAACAGAAAAAATATAATACATATTAAAAACCAACATTTCTTAAAATATTTTTATTTTTAATAAAGTATAAGAGTACGCGCTATTTAATTACATTTCATTACCATATTAGGCACTTTTTACGAACAGATTAAAGAATATTTTTTTGGCGAAACGGATTTCATGGTGAAATTCTTATAAGTTGGTAATAAATTCAAAACCTTTTTAATAAAAATAAAATTTAAAAAAAAATTCATTCAACATTAGGAATGAAACAATTCATAGTTGCAAACTAACTAATAAACAAATAAAATTAAAAAATAAATAAATTAAAAAAAAGTTTAAATCACGCCAATCAGGTTGTTTAAATAACGGGTGATCTTGACCAAGTTGGCGACAAAGAACTAATTTAACCTTGACCATTTGATCAATTTCTTCTTTTAAAAAACACAGGTTGCTAACTGAACAAAATCGTCGCTTCTTTTATCTGAATCTAAACAGGCTTAAGAAAGACCAGGAAAACTTTAAAAATATTCTCATCGGTAATTGGTTTTTCCAATAGCATTTTTCTTTTTTATTTAATGCCATTTGCATTCTGCTTTGTTTGGTAATGATTTAGATCCTTTGTACAATGATTGTCAACATCATAAGACTTTTATCGGTAACTGATGGTCACGAGGTTTTAAGCTTTCATTTGAAACAAGTTGTCTTTTTAAAGATTATTTTGTTGTAATGATTATTGTTCTTTGGTAATTATAGTTTAATGAGATCAGAGCTGCTTAATAATAAAATATTTTACCATTTAGAAATTTACAGAAAAACTATTTTTTTCTGTATTGAAATTGCCCACAGTTTAAGGGGCCATCCAAAATTTATGTCACCTTTTTTCAATATTTTTAATCCTCCCTTTTGTCACAAAGTGTCACATCATGCTAATAAACATATGCACGCAATTTTGACACAAAACATCATATTTCAAATTTTATTTTAAACTTAAACTACGTTTTTTATTGTCATTTGTGTACACAACAATAATTATTTTGTGCTTTTATTTTGCTGAAAAAGGTTAAAAATAAATAAAACAACAAATAAATATTTAATCTGCTGTTCTTAATATTTTTAATTTAATCAAAATATGGGATGTAAAACTTCTGGTTATCCCTTCCTTAATTCTTCCTTTTTTTTACGATTCACAAAATATTATTAACAAAATGTTTCTACATAAAATTATAATAGTTGTAAATTTATTACAAAATGTTCTTTGTTTTTGTGTAAAATATCGACTTTTAAGAAAAAAAAACAATAGATGCGAGGAGTTTGTGAGGGGAGATGCAGGGGGCAAAACATGCAAAATTGTTTGTAGGGTTATAAACTATTGCGATTATTATTATTATTATTTCCTTTAAAAAAAGCAGTGTGTTTCTTTAAGGATTGTATGATATACAATAATTTTCAAATCAAAATTTTAGAATTTTCATTTTTTTAATGATTGGGAAATTAAAAACGTAATAAAAATATCGAATTAATAGTTTAAACGATATTTTAAAAGCTTTAATGATACAGTCATTTTTGTCAACATCTTAAAAAATTTATATTTATATTTAAAAATATAAATTTTTTAAGAATGAATAAATATTTTCTAAAAAATACTTACAATTTCATACTAAAAGCCAAACAATACCAACTTGGTATCAAAACAACGTCTTGGTTTTCCAATACACCATTTAAAACTTTTTCTGCAACAGATTCAGGCTTTAAAATCGAAGATACTCTGTAATAAATAAATAAGAAAAACGCATTAAAGTAATTGTTCATATTTATAATTCTTAATTAATAATAATTAATTAATAATAATTAATTAATAATAATTAATTAATAATTGATTTATTTATTAATGTTTTTAATAATTAATATTCATTAATAATAATAATAAATTAATAATTATTTTATTTATTAATGTTTCTAATAATTGATATTCATTAATTATAATTAATTTATTTATTAATGTTTAGAATATTTAATATTCATAAACAATAATTATTAATTTTGCATAGGTCATTTTGATTTTAAAGGAATTATAGAAAAAAAAAGCATTTGTAGCCTAATGTAGTAAATATTGTAACCGATGTAGAACTCAATAAATCAATATAAACACAATTAATAGTAATAAAAAAAATCACTTTATTAACTTTTGAACTATTCATCTGATTTTAATATGTTAAGTGTTCGAGGGGCTAACCATAAATGTGCTAATGAATTCGTGTAGATGGTAATTTAAGTTCGAAATCAGGCACAAAAACGCATTGTAAATATTTTGATAGCGAATGTTTATGACTATGAAGCAATCCTGTTTTCTTTTAATTTTTTTAACGGAATAATTTCTATTCAAAATGGCGGTATATATTGACAAGCAACTTCTACATAATTGAAAAATTAGATAATTAGTACATTGTGACAAACACAGTTGTGCTTCTAAATATAGTATCTTCAGCTTCTAATTTCATGGTATTTAATGAATGTCGACTTATTTATAGAGAAAAAGGTAAACAATGATTCAAGTTGTATGACGATCACTTGTTTTCATGGAAACGGTTTTCTTTAATTATCTACGTTGTTATTTAGCTCCAAAATACTTTCATTTGTAAGTAGTAATTGGAATACTAATGAAGATTTGTGTTTCTAAATGAAACATTTCGAATTGCGTAAACTTTGGAATTGAAGGAAAAGTTATCTTAGTTACCTTATTTTTTCCGATCAATGTGACAGTGCATGCTGAAACCCATTACGTACATAACACTGCCATATTTCAAGGACAATAAGCAATAAGGTTTACATAAAAGAGAAGAAAACTGGTAAGAAAAGTGCTGTCCCGCATAAAGGTTTACTTTTCCAAATCCTGGGTTTAGACTTTTATTTCTTACATGAGTAAAATGAAATTGCGTAATTTTTTTTTCGTACCAAGAATATTAGGACGAATTACTCTTGTTAAGAGGTAATTTTATCGACAAACAACTTGAGGATGAGGATATTCTCTTTATAATTTAGTAACATTTAAAAATAATAATTAATGAAAAATTACTAAGCAAATACCAGGTTTTAAAATATAAATTAGCTACCTTTGGCCGACCAGCATGATCACATTGTTTTATTGCTTTTAAGTGACTGAAATCTGTTCGCATTTGTTTACGTTCGTGTATCAATTAGTTACATTAGATGATAAGAAATAAAAATTCGACGATTGGATAAATTAAACGATGTATAACATAAATATAGAATATTTATTATATCAGATATATTATTAGTATATTATAATAATTAGATCAAATTATTAGACGCATTGTAGTGTTTTAATAATTGTATGTTTTGCACGACTTTACATGCAATACTTTTTTATTTAAACATACGTGTTATGAGTTTTTATTCAGGAGATTTTTTAAATAAACTGGTGGACAAAATTAAGAGATGGAAAGCATTGTCGCACATTCATTCGCACATGCAAGATACCCTCACACCGCTCCATGTGTTTGACAATGTTTCCGTGAATGCCCAGAGGTTCAGGCAGGAGGTCCTAGAGCCCTATGTGCGTCTTTTCAGGGGCGCTGCTGGCCCTGAGTTCATTTTTATGGACGACAATGCGCGACCACATAGGGCTCTCATGTTTGATGAGTGTCTGGAAAGCGAGGATATTCAACGAATGGATTGGCCAGCCAAATCCCCTGGCCTGATGCTTGGGATGCTCTTGGGAGAGCTATTGCAATGCGCCAACCTCCTCCCAGAACCATTCTGGAGTTAAAAATTGATCTGGTGGAAGAATGGGAGGGTCTTCCACAAGTCCTCCTTAACTCCCTTAATAACAGCATGCATACTCGTTGTGCATGCTGTCTGTCTGTCAGGGGTGACCATACACCATACTAGAGGCAACACACACTGTACAAGCCTCACTTTTATTGTCATCTTTTATCAGAACTATCTTTTATCAGTTCAGAATACAGTGGATTTATTGGCAATAGGTCTTGCCAGTGAATGGCACTTTCATTTTTGTTTTGCATACTTTATTATAATGGAATAGTAAGCTATATCCATACCAAATTTCATTTATTTATATTCAGTATTTTTGAGATATTTCGGAAAATGTCTTCCATCTCTTAATTTAGTCGACCAGTGTACTTTTTATTTGTATTTATTTTTAACTTAATGTATTGCAATGTTAACCAATTGATACACGAACTTAAACAAGTGAAAACTGGTTTCAGTCGCGAAAAAACAATAAAGCTGTATAGTATCACCTTTTAATTAAGATTTTACGTAAAATCTTATAGTGCGCCTAATAATTTGGGCAGGGGCTGTATAGTGTTGCCAATAGATGAAGAAATATCCGAATTCATGGTGTAACATAAAATAAATGCACATATAGATTACAAAAGTGATAAACAGAATAATTACTGTTATTTTTTTAATGAATGTAAATTTGGAAAATATTAAAGAAGCAACATACACAGCTTGAGTTCCTTCAAACAAGCCTGTTGAAACAAGATTCGGGCAAACTACTGTTGTTTTTATACCATCTAATCGTTCTCTTTCTATTTCCAGTTTAATTGATTCCATTAATCCAACAGCACCAAATTTGCTGGCACAATAGTCCGTGAGGTTTGGTAGGCCAGTCAGTCCCGCTTGGCTCGCAATCGACACAATATGGCCCTTATTAGAATTTATCATATCAGGAAGAAAGGCTTTCAGAAACTAAAATACAAAGTTTTATAATTACTTAATGTTTCGTTATATATATAAAAAAAATCTTCACTGCTTACTATTATCAGAGAAGAAAATTATTTGCAGCAGGTTACTTCTGATATTAATCTAGCTTTCGAACAATAATAAAAATAAAGAGAAAAAAAAAAGATTTGTGCAAACACGAGAAAAGTGTTCTCCTTATGGCGATGGTATATTTTTACATAGAATCATTTTTACCAAGAAAATTAAAAACGAAGATAATTTTTTCGCATAAAAATTTCTTGATTTTACATATTTAATTGTATTATATTTATACATTATTAGTTATATATTTAGAACACAATGTTTAGCATAGTAATGTAAAATACTGAATGAACCACATTGAAGCTCAAGTTATATTGCAGTTTCCTTTCAATGCATATGCCAGCATAGCACATTCTAAAGAAAGTGGAATTAAATCTTACTAATTTCTAGTATCTTAAAGATGATGTAGTTTGGAACATAAGAAAGATCTGTCGTTTTATGAAGTGATGCTTCTTTACGAACAATATGATATTTTCATAACAGTGACTTTTCAACAATTAGTTATGACTGTTATGTCATATTTAGCCAATTTTTAGCCAGTTACCTCTACGTTTGTTTTGAAAATGGCACAAAACATCAATACGGTGAAAAGCCACAGTTTTGAGAAAATGAAAAGTGTGAACTAATTCTTTTTAGTTTTAAGAACTTACTCCCATGCTGTATTATCTGGGTTTATAAAAAATTGCAAAAAATGAGAAAAAAAAGGCATTGATTTTAACCATTTTAATCTAAATGGAAAAAAAAATGTCACGATTTTTAAAAAAAAGTTTAATAATTTTTAAGATATTTAAGTTATTTGTGTGTTCTAAGGCTCAGATAATTCTTTATGGCAAAATATTAAAGGTAGTTTAAAATTATAGCTTTGCTTCGATTGCAAAGTACTTCACTGTAGCTGTTTTTTAATTTTCCTGGGCGAAACGCTAAAAATTATTTAAAATAGTTTTGAAATTTATTTCTTACAACATATCATAAAGTTACAACTTTATTTAGAAATGCTTATAGAAAAGGAAAGGGTAATCGTGAACATAACATTTTCCTAATTCTATAACTTCACACGTATTCACCTCCATTTTAGCCTTCAACTTTAAAGAAACTTTCATTTATGCGATTTAGTATCAATGACCTACTTGAACAGATCAAATCACGTAGGTTGCAATTTTAATTCAGTGCATGTAAATAGTTTTTAAATATCTTGTTTACGCATAAATTTTAATTTTTGACATTCAATATTTTATTACGTTTTATTGTAGAATAATAAAAAAAAAATCATATTATTCCTATAAGACATTGTTCATAAAATTTTTGATTTATCATAATTTATAATTAATTTTGTTTCAAAATAAAAATGTGATAAAGTAACGCATAATCTCGCGTTTATTCTCATAATATTTGTCAGGGATCAATTTCGTATAGAGATAAATATAAAATATCTGCTTATTTGTAATAAAGGAGCTGTGTTTCATGCTTCGCAACTGTCTTTACTCTTTGCAGCGAGAAAGAAGACGTATCTTGCTACCCATAAATGTTAATTTTTAGCATTCAATGTTTTATTACGTTTTATTATGGAATAAATTTTTTTTAATTATTATTTCTTCGTATCCTACATTGTTTATAAAACCTTTGATTTGTCATAATTTATAATTATAATTTCTATTTTAACTCAAAGATGTGAAAAAAATAACATATAATCACATGATTATTTTTTAATATCAGTCAGGGATATCTTTTTCGTAAAAGTGATAAATACAAAAATAGTTGCTTATTTGTAATAATAGTTTCTTATTTGTAAAAATAGTTGCTTATTTCGTATTAGGGAATTGTGCTTCTTGCTTCGCAATTGTCTTACTCTCCGAACTGATACAGAAGTTTTCTTTATTCCCCAAAATTGCAATTATTTTCCCACTGCAATTATAATGTGCCAATTGTAATTGTCCCGTACTTTCCATTGTAATTATGTAAAATGTGTTCATAAAAATTCAACTAAAAATTATTCAATTTCACGTAGCGAAAATCGCATTTAAAAGTTATTTTTAATTATTTTTTCAAAATATAGGTTTAGTTTGTACTTTAATACTTATGAAATCGAGTAATAGTTTCATTTAATTCATTTTACTATTTACTTGTTTTTTGTAAGAAATGTACTACTCTATATTCAAAATTATTAATAAAAATAATGTGTTTTAACATTTTTTACAAAATAGTGATATTTAAATATTATAATTAAATATTAAAAAAATTATCTAAACTAACATTTACTTATATTTATGGTCTAAGTTTAATTATGCGTTCATTACGCTCACTGTCATTAATTGTAATAAACGTATATACTAGAGATTTTAATATATATTAATTATTTTACTAGAGAAATTATTATAAACTACTTAAGTTTGTTAAAGTAATAGTTGTTTAGACTTTATTATGTTAACAGGTTATTGTTAATATTTAATTAATTATTATTAATCAGCGAATAAGATTATTGTGCATTTCTTTTGTCCTATAGGTACCAAAATAACGGGGCAATAAACCGAAATATGGATCTTTCTCTTTAACCGTGAGACTTAAACATATTATTAAATTAGGTTGGTTAAAAAACAATTCCAAATTGAAAATATGCTAAGAGAAATGCAACAGAATAAGTAAACTACGTTAAATTATAAATATAATTTATATAAAAAATGATAGGGGACAATTCTCTATCTAAAAAAATCATCTGATTAAATTTGGATAATCAATTGACAGTTTTATTTGGTAAGGGACCATGACACGAAAATTTTTGCATAGTTTTATCACCTTTAAATAAATCAAATGTAGAGTAAAAAAGTGTTTTATTTAAATATTCATCAATACATTTTTAATTAAAGTGTTGTTAAACAAACTATCAAAATAAACGGTGAAATTTTGGTGACTTTTTTTAGTATGTTTTCTTTAATATAATAGTTATCTGGTTTACCGTAAGAAACATTTGATCTATTAAAGATAAATTCTCCCCCCCCCTTAAATTTTATATGATGCGAATAAAATTTAAAATAATGTACGAGAAGAAAAATAAACAAAAACGAACCACCTTGAATAACTATTTTTTGATTCATAGATTTTCACATACTAAGACTCAACCTTGATGTTGCGAGGATTTGTCCTCAAATATGCTAATTACTTATTGCAGACGATATTTTACGTAACGAAATTAGACACAAAAATACACTTTCTTTGAATAAACATACCTTCATTCGACGGATGTGAATTTCTGATCCTCAAAATACAGGGTTATTCATAATTCCCTCTGCCTGTAAACGTCATTTTTCTTTACTACAACTGGCTTCAGTGGTACATGTTACTGCCATCTACCGGCAACTGCTTAAATTAAAACTTGAATACTTTCGGAATAATTTCATATGTTCTTTTTTGCCATATTCGTCTTCGTTTTTTTACTATAACGCTTCGAAACCCAGGAGGGAATTATGAATTATCATGTGCAGGAGTAGCCGCAGTCTGGGAAATATGGTTCGAATAGTTTAATAAGAAGAGTGGTTAAAAATTTGTTCATTTCGCCATTAATCCCTCAATGCTAATTTCGCCATATCTCGTGAAATTTTTAAATAAAATAATCGAAATATTTTTGGGACAGTATTATAAAATTCTTTCATTAAAAGATAATTCTATTAAAAAAAACATTTGGTAATTCTTTTTGCTTTTTAGTCGAAACAATTTAAAATTGTACGGCATACAAATTTTTACATCATTTTGAAGAATGTAATTTTATACATCAAAATATAAAAAACTGGAACGAAATCGGACGAATAGTTCCTGAGAAATCAAGTTTTAAATATACGACTTCATTAAAATTCGATCTTCAATTTCGTTTTGCTCACTTGCGCGATGCGATGTTTTATGACGTGATTTATGATGTTTAATGACACTAAAAGAAACACTCTACGGTGCAGGGCTAACAGGACTGTTAAGAGGGTTTCAGATTCAGACAATTGTTTAACATAAAATTGTTTCAGAAACAGGATTGTTTTATTTTTTTACAGCATTTTTATTGCATTTTACACAAAAGTGCTGTCATTAAAAGGAAAAAAAAGCATCAAAATGTCTTCGTAAAATCTTTAACAATGGCAAATAACATTTAACAGCGTGTTAAGACAAATAAGTAAAATGTTAAAATATATGTTACTTAAAAGCAGGAATCGTTCTTTAAATGAAAATTGATATTGGTCCGATACTAAATGAAACTAATAAAACTTATGGAAATAAAAATTTAATTTAATAGTAAAAGATAAGGTTTTTTTTCCTTAGCGTGAAAAAATTGAATAGTAATTATCATAATTCAAGTCAGAGTTAATAACTTAATTCGTTGTTTTCTAATAAGAATGAGTGTTAAAATAGTTAGAGAGTGAACAATTGATCTCATTTTATTAATCTACTCTTATTTAAAAAATAAAAACACTCTCTGACAATCTTATAAAAATTCGAGTTTTTTTAATAATGGATTCAATAAATCTGTTAATAATAATAATAATTAATTTAATGATTAAAGAAACGATAATTAATTATAATAATCAATATAGTAAAAATGACTAGCGCTGATGAATTTAACAATAATAATGATTTATAATAATGAATTTAATAGTAAATTTAATTGTAATAATAATGTATTCATAAGCAATAAATTTAACTAAATGAAGTAAAGAAGGAAAAATTGTATTCCAAACAATGTAAAAATAACAGAGGAAGAATTAGCTGAAATGCTTATAAAAGTTTGTTGAAATACTTAAGAAATTAGTTGAAGTACTTAGAGATTGAAAAGTTTCAAAAGGCTAATTTCTATGCAGTTAAATACGAAAATAATTAGGGGAAAGCTAGGAACTTTTTTTAAAAGTCGTGGTTAGGGTCCAATATGGATACTCAAAGTTTGCCCCCTCCCC